ATTTTCGTCGATCATCACGTGATGGTAAAAATTACATAGTAATTTTGTCAATTTTGTTGGCGATCCTGGGGTAGTTCGTGTTTTGCCGAAAAGTGAGAAAGCCCCCATACTCTTTATAAGCACATTTTTAAAAAGTTACTATCATCCCGACTGTGTAATTATAGAGAGGGTTAACTGTATTGTATAATTATATTAATAAAATTAATTACATTTAATGAGTATTCTTATATTTAAACTAATTATTTAAATTGTATGAGTGCTGCCAAGAGTTAATGAGACTTTGGAATTTCAATTTTATTATTTAGTATTGAAAAACCTAAGAATTATAATTGCAGTTAAAGCACTATTGAGTTTTGGCTTGAAATCAGGATTTATACTTAAAAACTAATCAAATTTATTAAATTGATCACAAATAAGATATTTACGCATCTATTAAAACCCCAGATTATACTACTAAATAAGATATTAATATTTCTTTATTAATTTACAGTATTTACCCTATGGCTTCATTACAGAAACTTTCTTATACATAAGTGATACCAAGTAAATTTTTGTCTGATGGTTCTATAGCACTAAATAGTAGTATTAGAAAGTAATATTCCAATCATAGCCAAGGGTAACTTTATCTAACTATTCTAATCTTCTCAGCTATGATTAAAACGTTACTAATAATAAGGTGATTCATATCATATAGAGGTGTGAATCGATTCTATAACAATCATTTTAATCATTAATCAAATTAGGATCGATTCTTATTTCTGTATAATAGTTTTAATTATTTCTACAAATTGGTTATTAAGAAATTGCATTTATAGAGAAAAATATCAATATTTCTTTTAAATTGTTCTATATATATATTTAAATAATCGGATTATGCTTACTAAATCGCAGCTATATTCATAATAATTTTAATGCGGGTATATACTTTGTAATGTAAAAAAGCTTTATAAGATTTTATAGTTCACAGTATTGATGATTTATTGCAATTCTCAAATTAAACTTGAGCCAGACAATATTTTAAATGAATTGAAGAAAACTTAATACTATTTTAATATATAATATAATTGTTTATAATTGTTCTTAGAATTTTGTTAAAAAGTGCACCATGCACTTGGTGCACCCATCAATATCCCAAAATTTTACTAATGTGACCTGTTGTGTAACTAACAAAAAATATTCCATTCATAATCTTACTCCAATCTTAATTTTAATCTATTTTAATCTTTATTATTTTTTTAATAGTATTATAGCATTAGGGTGCTTGAATGCATGGGTGCACTTTTTTAGATTTTTTCTTATAGTTAAACGTTATTCAATAGATTCATATTATTAGTACTTTCAACACTATCATCATTGATTTCAGGCTCAAGCATTTTGTAAAATTTATTAATTGCTATATATCTATTGCGTGTTTTCTGTATATCCTCAAGAAAACTTGTATCAAGATAATACTCTCTTAACAAACATTCTAATACAGCTATTCTATCTTCTATAGTAGCACCATGAGGCAATTTTCGTGGATCATCAACTAATGGAATTCCAGCTCTAGAGATATATCTTCTTGCAAGATGTTTTTTGAAACTCTGTCTATATGGCCACCAACACGGACAAGTTCGACATATACCCCTTTATATAAAAAGATTGAGAATACATGACCATAAATTATAATAAAAATGCAGGTTTAATAAATTGCTACAAACCATGGAGAATACCTTCTTTTTCCAAAACAAAAAATAAACACTGTACTAATTGCAGTATAAAAACCTCCAAGACTGGATAGAATAGTGCCAACTAAAATTTACCATTAAAAAAAAGAAGTTAGAATTAGTAATAAAAAGCTATATTTAATTTAACTTACAATTGCTTAAATATTTCTCCTCTTCAATACGTATTCTATTATTCTTTGGCACAATTGCCAAAAAAATATTAGAACTGTTTGAATCTGACTGAAGTATTTTAGTTTCAATATTGAGAAGTGCATTAGTTTTATCAGGCTTAAATCCCAACTGTCCGATCAAATATGAAGTGTACTTCTTGATAATTGTTATAGAAAATTCTAAAATGGTGTGTTGTCCAAGAGAAATTGGATAAAAATTATCGACACTTATTCTTTCAGATTTATATATGACCTCATTAAAATGAATGCCAATATAATTTAAAAGTGAATTATTCCAGAATAATTTATCATTCAATGTAATATTCAAAATGATAAAAGCAGGTCTTGTATCGTTAGAGTATAAATCAGAAGCATTTTCAGGAATCTTTCGATAAGAAGAATAATAATAATAATCTTTATGGCCAGTGATTTCATTGTAATAACCAATATTGCTTGTAAGATTCTTAGAAAAGGAGTAAAATTTATTGTTGGCTGAAATATATAACACCCTGTAGGATCAGTTAAGTTTGCAACATTTTCATTACATGGCTCATTAGATCCGGTAATGCCAGTTTCCCAAAATTTTATTTCTGAATTATATAAATTATATTGATTTCTATCATTAACATATCGTACAGAACAAGAAACATCTTTGATTGTTGAGTGAGGACCTTTATTTTGGTTGACAATTTAAATTAATTCTATTTATCACTTATTGTCGCGATATTTCTTTAAATAAAGTTTAAACTTACCACTGTGACAAATTGAGAATGCTGGATAATAATGTATGTAGGATTACTTTTAGTAGTACAACTACAGTAATAGTTTATCAATTAAACAAAGTATTGGATTTAAAATTACCTGGAAACATAACGTCATCTTTGTCTTCACTAATTATAATAGTCAGCTTACTGTTGAACATGAGATCATTCCAGGAAATGAACATATAGATGAAAAATATAGCAGCAAAAAACAATGCAACCAAATTTTTCAAGATTTGGAAACAGAAAGGTTCTGTCGATCTGTTGGCATAAAGCATTCTAAAATACATATTATCAACTAGTTGGGCAACGCTTGAAAATATCTTCCGATTGTTAATTCTTTTTATCATCTGTTGCACAAACAAAGACTTTATTTAAAGTTTACGCCCATAAAAATATGGGTAATTATTTTGAATCCAGACCAAAATATTATTACGCAACATATATAAATTGGCCTGGGTTCAAAAATAATTACAGTCAGACCTCCCTAAGTGCACCCCTCGGGACCATAGGAAAAAAAATGAAAAGAGTGCACTTAAAGAGGGTGTGCATTTATAGAGAGCAAATTATATAGGGTTCTTATAAGCTGGGACCAGACTACACCATGCATTTAGAGAGAATTTACTTAATCCGTGCACTTAGGGAAGTGCACTTAGGGAGGTCTGACTGTACCCATAATTATAGGAATTATGAAATCACAAAAACTATAATGGTAAACGCATATAATTAATATTCAACGCAATAATAATTCTGTCTGACATCAAATTCTTTCCAATAATTATTGCGATGGCGAACCAAAACTTCCTTCGAAAATTATTTACACAATTACGTCAATACTTTACACCTTTTAGTGTCTCCGAACGTTTATATATTTTATTAATATTATCAAACATTATCGTAAGACTTATATTTTATTTAATGTTTATATATATAGATTTTTTCAGAAGTATATATATAGATAGTAGGTCAATTTGGATGCTATATAATTTATTCTCACTCCTGTCTTTTTATTTCTTCATTTGTCTTGGTGAGTAAAACTTCAAAGTAATATTTTACCGGATTTATATCATTGATATTTGCTTTTTATTATTCGGTTACGTTGCAGATTATGTCAAAAATGATGTCACACGCAATTATCTTCCTGATAGAAATTGTTTGTATAGACTACTTTCATCCTGGTTTATATTATATTGGAATATGTATAGATTTGGCATTTTTACCATTATTTGTAATTTTATGCCTAAAAATATGTCTGAGGTAAAAAACAAAATTTATAAAATTATTATATAATCAAATCTTATACTAAATGAATTCATAAATTTCAGTATTCGAACGAAATCACCTTCTTTAAACTATATTACATCATTAACAAAGAAATCAGATATAATAGGCATGATATTTTAAATAATGAGATATTGCTTTTATATTCAATTTTAATTAATCAATTGATCAATGCTTAATTTAGGATTTTATAAAAGATATGAATTTCAACTGTTTCTTGCACATGCACAAATTTTACAATTTATATTTCTTGTGTATATATGGTGCGATTTCTATAATCATGAAAACAATCATATGTCATTAATTTTGTCATGTATTTTATTTCCATGGTATTGGGCGCTGCCATCTATAATTGCTTTTACGATGATCCGAGGGGTAATACATATCCACACATTTTTGGAATTATTGTTTATTTTGACACACCCCAAAAATTAGGTAACACGAAATGCAAGGTAAGTCAGCTAGTTGACAACCAATAAAATTTAAGAATAAATTTA